AATAATGGGGTCCCAGCTCAATTTTGGGGTGCGATCCCACAGCCGTCACCCAATAATGGGGTCCCAGCTCAATTTTGGGGTGCGATCCCACAGCCATCACCCAATAATGGGGTCCCAGCCTATTTTGGGGTGCTGTTCCATACCTATGGGGTCCCAAAACTGTTTTGGGGTGCGACTCCACAGCCATCACTGCCAGTGGTGTCTCAGCTCAATTTTGGGGTGCGATCCCACAGTCATCACCCACTTATGGGCTCCCAGCTCATTTTTGGGGCCCTCCATGGCCCCCCTGTCCCATCCCGGGGTGCTCCAGCCCCTCAGCTCCATCCCAGATCCCAAATTCCCCATCCCACAGAGCTCGGGGGGTGCAGGGGGGGACACTCGGGGTCCCCCCAGTGTGGCCAGCCCGTGTCCCGCTGTGGGGGAGGGTGACAAAGGGGAGGGTGACAAAGGGGAGGGTGACAAAGTCCCCGTGCCCAGCGGGGTCACCTCGGAGCGGAACCCACCGGGCACGGCCTTGGGGTGGGGGTTTTTTTAACTTTTTTTTCTTGTTTCCTTTTTGTCCATTTTCCCCCTTTTCCCCATTTTTTCCCTTTTTTTCCTTTTTCCCCCCCTTTTTCTCTTTTTCCTCTTTTTTCCCTATTTTGGGGATTCTCGGAGCCAAAGGGAGAGCGCTGCTTCCCTCTAGCGGCTCCGGAGACAGGAGGGGACAGGGACAGGGACAGGGACAGGGAATGTCCCCTCTGTCCGCGGAGGGACGAGGATTTGGGGTCCGGAGCTGGGCCTGGTCAGACTGGAGAAGGGAAGGCTTAGAGTGGAAATATCCCAAATATCCACGGAAATATCTCAGATATCCATAGAGATCTCTCACATATCCATGGAAATCTCTCATTTTGGGAAAGGGATCCCATCAACGCCTGGAAATATCCCAAATATCCATGGAAATATCTCAGATATCCATGGAAAGATCTCAGATATCCATGGAAATCTCTCGTTTTGGGGAAGGGATCCCCTCAATGCACGGAAATATCTCCTGGAGGTGTCAGACTCTGCTCAGTGGTGCCGGGACGAGGAGCAAAGGCCAGAAACCAAACCCCGAGTGCCACCTGCACAGGGGGAAGAGCTGTCCATGGCGGGTGGCTGGCGCAGGTGACCGGGAAGGACTCGAGGTGTCCCTAGGGACCCCACCCGTGTCACCTGCTCCAGGTGACCCTGCCTGGCCAGGGGCTTGCACTGCGTGACCTTCAGAGGTCTCTGCCCAGCCTGTTCTGGGGTTCCGTGCTGCCCACACCCCTGTCCCCCTCAATGTCCCCTGTCCCATGCAATGTCCCTTGTCCCCCTCGTGTCCCCCTCAGGACTACATCTCCCAGGAGGCCTTGCTGTCTCCAGCCAATAGCGCGCGGCCTTGCTCAGCCGGCGGGCGGGCCGCGGGGTGTACCGGAAGTTGTAGGCCGGCCGGCAGCGGGCACGGCAGCAGAGAACTACAAATCCCTGCGAGCCACGGGAGGCGCGGGCCAATGAGGAGCGCGAGTGTTGGCGTGGGGCGCAGGCGCGCCGGGGCGGGCTGGCCGTGGATTCATGTGGAGGTCAGCGGCGCGGCGGGAGCGGCGGACGGGAGGGCGGCGGTGGGTCCGGGGTTACCGGGGGGAGCCGAACCGAGCCGGGGCCGAGCCGCGGCCTGAGGGCGGACGGGCAGGGTGGAGACAGCGACGCTTTGGCCCCTGGGGTGCCCGTGCTGGGGGAGAGCGGCCTAGGAGGGAGCAGGGAAGGGGAGGCCCAGGGGGGCGTGCAGGGTGCGGGGTCAGGATGTGAGGGCACGGGGAGAGTTGGGGGCGGTCCTGGAGGGAGGCCTGGGGTGCTGTGAGGCCCGGAGAGGGGTTACGAGAGCGAGAGCCCTGGGACCGAGGAGATCCCTGGGGCTGGGGAGACCCCCGGCACTAAGGAGCCCCCAAGGCTGAGGGGTTTGTGGTGTTTTGGGGGGTACAAGGAGCCCCCCAAGCGATGCTGCCCGCCGTGGTTTGGGGGTTCCGGGCAGGGCTCGCAGTCCCCCCGGCCGTGCCCGGTGAGGTTTGACCCCTCGGGGGGGATTTTCAGGAGGGTTTTGGAGCGGGGGCTGCGGCTGGAGCTGTGAGATGGCTGCCAAGGTGTTCGAGAGCATCGGGAAGCTCGGCCTGGGCTTGGCGGTGGCCGGTGGAGTTGTCAACTCCGCTCTTTACAACGGTGAGTGGCACGGGCTGAGCGCCCTCAGGTCGCTTTATTTTGTATTTCTGTCCAAATCTTGACCTCTCGGTGCTTTGACTGCCCAATAAAAACAGAGCGAGGCCTTGCAATACCACGAGCACTGTGAGTTCCTTTCTCCCAGAGGCAGCGAGGAGCAGACTGGGAGGCCCTGGAGTTCCATCCGCAGCCTCTCTTTGCTCTCTTGCTCCAAATGACCCCGTTAATTCCCTGCTCTCTCGTTAATTGAGGCTCTCACCGCCCCACACACCCCACCGGTGGCAGCAGTGCCCCCCCCTGACGCCCCCTTTCCCCCCCACAGTGGACGCAGGGCACAGAGCTGTGATCTTTGACCGCTTCAGAGGGGTGCAGGACGTGGTGGTGGGAGAAGGGACCCATTTCCTGATCCCCTGGGTGCAGAAACCCATCATCTTCGACTGCCGCTCGCGGCCCCGCAACGTCCCCGTCATCACCGGCAGCAAAGGTGGGTGCTGGCCCCGGGACTCCACACCCAGGGGCTCCAGGGCTTGGGGTTTATCCTTCTGGAATTCTGGTCCTGCAGCAGTGGCCACGAATGGAACAAGCGAGGCAAGGGTGGCCGAGCACTGGGCCGGTGACCAGGAAGGGTCTGGAGTGTGCAGCCACACACCCCAAGCCCACCTGTGTCACCTGCTCCAGGTGACCCTGCCTCAGGTGGGTGATGTCCCGGCATCCCTTCCAGCCCCAGCTGCTCCTGGAACAGCCAGGAATGGTTTGAGATTTTTTTTTATAAAGAAGAGGTTAAGGAAATCTTCCTTTGGAGGGATTTCTGGAGATTCCTCGACTCTGTGGTGATCCCGTGTGTCCCAGTTTGGGCATGGTTTGAGATTTTTGATAAAGGACAGGTTAAAGAGCTCTTCCCAAATATTTGGGGTTGGAAGGGATCTCTGGAGATTCCTCGACTCTGTGGTGATCCCACGTGTCCCAGTTTGGGAATGGTTTGACACTAAGGAACTCTTCCTTTGGTGCTGTAAGTCACTGAATGCTGAGCAGCTGGGCTTGGAAGGGAGCTCTGGAGCTCACCCAGTGCCAGATGGGCTCACCTGGGCCAGGTGCCACAGGTGGGCTCAGAATGGACCTTTGGAGCTCACCCAGTGCCAGACGGGCTCACCTGGGCCAAGTGCCACAGGTGGGCTCGGGACTCTCCAGCAGCGCAGAGTTGGACCCCACAAAGGCCAAAAGGGGAGCGAAACCAACTCGTTTATTCCTGGCAAAGTGCAATAACTGAGGGCGCTGAGCCCTGGGCAGGCCGGGGCCGCCCCCTGAGCGAGCCGGGTGTCCCCCAGACCTGCAGAACGTCAACATCACTCTGCGGATCCTGTTCCGGCCCGTGACGGCGCAGCTGCCGCGCATCTTCACCAGCATCGGCGAGGACTACGACGAGCGTGTGCTGCCCTCCATCACCACCGAGATCCTCAAGTCCGTGGTGGTGAGCACGGCCGGGCTCCTCCCCTGCCTGTCCTGGCAGCGGGCTGGGAGCTGGGACAGCAATTCCGGCCCGCTTTGGGTGCGGAGGGCGATGGAAGCTCAGCCGGCTCCAGCACCTCTGCTGTGGGGTTCAGGCCTCATCCAGCCTGGCCTCGGGGATTTCCAGGGGTGGGGACTCTCTAAATCTGCCTGGGAGGCCTTTCCCGTGGGGGAATTCCTGCTGCTGTCCTGGCTGGTGCAGCCTGGAGCTGTGTCTGGTCATTGCCTGTTCCCAGCGCTGTCCTTCCCGTTCCCAGCGCTGTCCTTCCCGTTCCCAGCACTGTCCTTCCCATTCCATCCCATTCCCAGCGCTGTCCTTCCCATTCCCAGCACTGTCCTTCCCATTCCCAGCACTGTCCTTCCCATTCCTT